AAGAGGTAAGATGGAATCACTGTAATCATCTACCTGTAAGGCTGTATTCTGGTGGTTGTATCGTTACATAATACTAATGATTCACCAGGTATTAAGTTAGGTATATAATGAAGGTTTTGTTTTTTTTATAAGTAAGGGGGTGAAGCTGTGTTGGGAGAGGTTTGGTCTTGGAGTGAATCGCTACTTCCTGTCACGAGTTTGTTGATATAGAAAGGTTATTTAATGTGTTTATGATGTGTGGTGGTGATGTGTGGTGGTGGTGGTGGTGGTGGTGGTGTGTGGTGGTGGTGGTGTGTGGTGGTGGTGGTGTTAATGAGTTATGAATTATTGAAATGAATTTTGTCGAATTTCTGTTGTATGAATCTTACACCATACTTCTGCTGACATTTGCTCTTACAGTGCCTAGGAGGTGCAGGTGTGTGTGTGGGGGAGGGAATCTACCTGGCGCCGAAGAAAGGACTTATGTATGTGTGGAATGTTTAATACTTTCACTCCCTTCATGTACTGTACCCTCACTATACTCACTATCATCAAACACCATAACTCCTCACTCTTACGCCCATCACTACTCACCATCATCACTCTCACCATCACCCCTCACTCTTACGTCCATCACTACACTCACCATCATCACTCTCACCATCACCCCTCACTGTTACGTCCATCACTACACTCACCATCATCACTCTCACCATCACCCCTAACTGTTACGTCCATCACTACACTCATCATCACTCTTCACCATCACTCTCACCATCACGTTTACGTACATAAAGTTGGTGGTCTTGGTTATGTTCCGTGTGGGTGTTCTTACCATTGGTCAGGACCCAACCCGTGTACCTGTCACTCACACCCTTCCATCAACACCAGTGAGGGCCACACCTGGAGGGCCACACCTAGAGGGCCACACCTAGAGGGCCACACCTGGAGGGCCACACTTCGAGGGCTACACCTGGAGGGCGCCATGTTTCTCACACCTCTCACAGGCCAGGGTCACCGCACTATCCTCCCTCACTATTGTGTCCACCTGACCCCCCTAACCTCCCTTGACCCCCACAATGCATAAGCCCCCCCTCCCCCCTTGACCCCCCACAATGCGTCAAGACCCCTCCCCTACCCCCTCCCTAGTGGTGGTAGCATCACATCCTTGTCCACATCATGCCAGATTTTTACACACCTCTTAAGACCAATGTTGTGGTTGTTGTGTTCATTAAGGCAGTCTTGTCTCCCACGGTGGTGTCATCCTCCCCTGGTGACAGCTGAGCCTTCCATCAGTGAGGTGAGGTAGGAGTGTGGTTATGGTAGGGTGGCCAGGGAGGACACACACACCCTCCACGGCTAGTTGATTACCTACACCGTGGTGCCGTGACGGAAAAGCCCCCCCCCCCCCCACCAGGCACCGTTACAGTAGCGTCGGACACAAGCACCACCTCCTCACCACCTAGCGGAAACAAAACCCTACTTAAAGAGATACGAACCCACGCCTCAAGCATAACCTCCACCACACGTGAAGCAACTTTTTCCCCACAACCCCGGCAACTTTTACGTGGATTAGAGACAGCGGCGTCCTTCCTCCCTGTTTCCTATTGCTCAAAGGTGATCCCGCTGGTCATTGGGCTTGTGAATGATGGTGCGGAGGAGATAATTAATGACTAGTTGAGGGGGGGGGAGGAGGGCGACGGCGGGGCGGCTGGCGGTGTCGGGCGCCATACCACACTGGCTATACACCTTTCTCTCTCTCTCTCTCTCTCCTCCCCAGCAGGAAATGCCGTGCAGGGCCGTCCGTCTGCCACTACCCCCTCCTCGCTCCCCGCTACTTCCCGAGTCCCGCCTTGACCTGAAGTTTTGAACCATCACCCACGCCTTCACTATCACCCACGCCTCTACTATCACCCACGCCTCTACTATCACCCACGCCTCTACTATCACCCACGCCTTCACTATCACCCACTTCACTATCACCCACGCCTTCACTATCACCCGCACGCCTCTACGCTATCACCCACGCCTCTACTATCACCCACGCCTTCACTATCACCCACGCCTCTACTATCACCCACGCCTCTACTATCACCCACGCCTTCACTATCCTTACGCCTTCACTATCACCACGCCTTCACTATCACCCACGCCTCTACTATCACCCACACCTTCCCTCTCCACCCACGCCTTCACTATCTTACGCCTTCACTATCACCCACACCTCCACTATCACCCACACCTCTACTATCACCCACGCCTTCACTATCACCCACGCCTCTGCTATCACCCACGCCTCTACTATCACCCACGCCTTCACTATCACCCACGCCTCTACTATCACCCACGCCTTCACTATCACCCACGCCTTCCCTTATCACCCACGCCTTCCTATCACCCCACGCCTCTACTATCACCCACGCCTTCACTATCACCCACGCCTTCACTATCACCCCACGCCTTCACTATCACCCACGCCTCTACTATCACCCCACACATGCTATCACCCACGCCTCCCACTATCACCCGCACCTCTACTATCACCCACCTTCACTATCACCCACGCCTCTACTATCACCCACGCCTCTACTATCACCCACACCTTCCCACTATCACCCACGCCCTTCACTATCACCCACACCTTCACTATCACCCACGCCTTCACTATCACCCACGCCTTCACTATCACCCACGCCTTCACTATCACCCACGCCTTCACTATCACCCACGCCTCTACAACAATCATAACACATACACGAAAATAACCTAACCTAACTTAACCAAACTTAACGTAACCAAACCCCCAGGAATAGCATATAAGAGTGAGGAAATCAGTCATATTAGGGTAATTAATCTTCACGTGAAATAAATTAAGGGTGTCTAATCTTCATGTGGTACCTCTCGTCAAACAAACTAATTCTCACTATTTATAAATGATATACAAAGGAAGGAATATGTCTAGTGTTAAATATAGTAAGAATGAAGTATATATAGTTAGTTTGTTTTTAGTCACAGGATCAACAATGAAATATTTTGGCAAGAGTTTGGTTGAGTAAGCGGTGTGTTCTGGGTTCGCCTCTCTCTCTCTCTCTCTCTCTCTCTCTCTCTCTCTCTCTCTCTCTCTCTCTCTCTCTCTCTCTCTCTCTCTCACACACAAAGGCCAATACTACGTCCTGTCAACACACCATGACCAGGCAGGCAGTGATTTCCTTCACCTTAAACTAGAAAGGAAATCGTATTATCAAACCTAAATTAGTTTGACCTTAACGCAACTTGAAAACAGAATAGGGTGAAAGTAAGCAATAGGTGTGGGAAAAACAAAAGCCTAACGATTGAAGAGCCTTAAAGGGGACAAAAGCCTAACGAAACTTAATCCAGATGAGGTTTCAATCCCTTATAGTAGTATTGGTTGAGTTATTGTGAATTTTAGTGATGTGTCATCTATAGATTTTCAGGTATACAAGTAGTGATCTAAGTGTAAAGTATAAGTGTTACGTGAGTGAATTAGTGAGTTGTTTATATTATTTCACTACAGGTTATGTTAGAATATTCATAACTACAAAGGCGTGGCAGACTAATATAGGATACAGTTGTCATAAGTACAAAACAAAACATCATCGGGGTGGCAGTAGCATTCCGAGACATAAACGATAAATAAGCAGCCATATTGTGACGTCACTACCTCACAGGCTCCATTGTGACGTCACCACCACAGTGCCAACTTACACCTGACGCTTGGTTGTCAAATACCTGACCTTGACTTTTTGGCTCTAGAATGATGTTAGCTGTCAGGAATGTCAGGTTAAATATGTACACAGGGTAAATATGAACTGTCTAGTGTGATCAAAAGAATCTGTACACATGTGTTAATGATGTCATAAGTTATTAATTGTTTAGTGTTATTATTGTATTCCTTAAGAGATTATTATTATTATTAGTAGTAGTAGTAGTAGTAGCAGTAGTAGTATCTAGGAAAACTATCTGACGTCGTAAGTGTATGTGACGTTCAGAAGTGTGTAGGGGGGGGGGACGAGGGGAGGGAGGGAGGGAAGGAGTGAGGGAAGGAGGAAAGGAGTGAGGGAGGGACCTTGACCTAGGCAGCTGGCACCCTAAGCTGGTCACCTCGTTCACTACTGCTGCTTAACTTAACGCTCTAAGACACTAAAGGGAAGGAAGAGCAAGCATACTACTCTACCCCCTCCCTCTCCACCCCGACCCTTCCTTCTTCCCCTCCCCTCCCCTCCCCTCTCCCCCCTCCCTCCCTCCTACCCCCACACACCAAATATTCCCTCAAAACAGAACAATAATTTTGTTGAAGCTTGACAGATGAAAAGTCAAGAATAAACTGTTTTACTTATTAATAAAATCATTCAAGTGTTGAGGCCACGGGGAGAAGTTAGCTGTGGAAACGATTATAACCTGGAATTAAGCATCATAGGGCCTTGTTGGCTCTCCTTGGTCGAGTTAGTTTACTATTGTTTGTATACCTGAACTGTCTAAATATATTCTAAATCACTGTAAACTTGCATGATGATTTTCTTGAGTAAATATCTATGTAGAGTTGAGAGAAATTGTATGTCTCTCTTGCTTGTCATTCAGTGAGGGGCTGTTACCTCCATTGACCTCGGGGACGTCATAGGTCAAAGTCGTATCTCCTGACCTTGTTTCCAGTGACCTGAGTAGCTTCCACAAAGTGTCAAATCCGGCAGTACAAGGGAGGGAGGTGTGAGGGAGGGAGGGAGGGTGAGGTAGGGAGGGAGGTGTGATGTAGTCTCTCACTCACCCTGTAAGGAGTGATGAAGAAGCTTGTCGCCTGTGTCTTCGTTACTATTAATTTCAGTTAATTAGCGTCTTAGATAACCCACACCCTTGGGTCGACATACACTCCAGGTGAGGTGAGGTGAGGGGGGGGGGGAGCTGCTCACGTTGGTCAAGACCCTGACTAACATGTCCGCCTCAAGGACCAGCAGAGACAAGAAGAAGCTGTACATCTCCCGAGAGTGAGCGGGGCGCTGAATTACTGTGGATGTCCTCCTGGTTCCTCACTGCCCCATAAGGTGTTACGAGCCCCGCGGGGCCGGGGCTGCCCCGTCAAGGTCTCGCTCACGACTCCGGGGAGCTCTGCTGACCGACTATCTTCAGGAAAAGCCTTGCCCATGGCGGTATGAGCGGCTGACAAACGCGGAAGGGTCAAACTGGCGCCAGGGAGCAGCTGGGGTATGTCGTGTTTATCACTGGACGTGTACCAGGGAGCCTACACCCCACCCCTCACACCCTGTACACCCCACACACACACACACACACACATTTCACCACAACACTATAAACACACTCAGGCAACTTATGAGCATAGAGTGAGCCAAGAGAAGAGTGTGTTGATACAGTAGAGTGAGTGAAGACCTCCTCCTCCTGGTGTTGTTGTACCATATATGGCTAACATCGTGTACCTCGTTGGCCAAGCTATGCCAACTATTTAGGAGATATAATCAGACAGAAATCTTGTACACCGTGTCAGACAATAGGCATTTCTGGTGTGTGTGTGTGTGGAGGTATTTTACATACATCCGACCTTCAAGTTTGGTCACCTTCTGTTGGCGTCCGGAAATACATTGTCAGTGGATGCGATCAAGATTGGGGGAGTTAGTGTGTGTGTGTGTGTGTGTGTGTCACTACACACATTCTACCATCACCCATCAAAAATACCAATCTTCAAGACCATTACCTCACCAACACCACTTAAATACCACTAACATAACACTATTGGCCACTCACTTACACACACACTACCCAACACACCACTATCACCATAATATTTTACGATACAACAACAAGTAGTGAAGATAAACAAGGTGTTAAAGAAATTAATTAAGTAGAAATATTGAGTTTCACTGCTGTGTCGTAACGTGGGGCGTCACTATCACTTGTGGTGGAGGGAGAGAGGGAGGGTATGTAGGTAGGGAGGGAGGGAGGGTATGGGGTAGGAGGGAGGGAGAGAAGGAGGTATGTAGGAAGGAGGGGAGGGAAGGCAGGTAGGCAAGGAGGGGAGGAGGGCATAGGCAAGGAGAGAGGATGGAGGTAAGGTGTTGGTAGGTAAAGAGGGGGGGTGCAGAGGGAGGTAGGGGGGGGTGCAGAGGGAGGTAGGGAGGGAGTGAGGTAAGGAGGTCGTGGTAGTACCTCACACGTGACCTCTCAACAAGTTTCCGCCCTCACGTCTTTATTGTATGATAATGTCCAGACCTTCGGGAGGAAGCACACGGTGGGTCCTAACTCCTCCCTCTACCTTCACGTGAGGAGGAGGAGGAGGAGCGTGAAGACAAAGACACAGGAATACACTCACTTACTCCATCTCCACTAGCCTCTGTTCTCATCTACACCATCACAAAAATGTAAGCTTATTCACTACTCATTCATGTCAATATTATTATTATTATTAACTCTGTATCTGTATTTGTCTGGGTAAATAAACTGTTTCAATAGCAATAAGCTTTATGGTGAGAAGCGTATCAATAAGCTGTTGTGGCGAGAAGCTGACGAGATAGATAACAGGTGAATAATTAGACACTTAAAGCTGAGATAAGGTGAACAACGGGGTGATGTATAGTCATGTTGTTGAGGTAATAACAAGGGCTCAGTCAACGACCTCCAGCAACACCTAGCAACATGAGAGGAGGGGGTGAGGGAGGGGGCAGCTGTCTTAATGGTCAACACTGGGCGCCGTGACATAAGGCTTTAAGTGGGTCATCTTGGTATGGTATGGGCGGCCGCTAGGTGAAGAGTGTTATGTAGGAGAAGTGTGTGATGAGGGAACCACTTAAGAGGTGAGGAGTTGAGTAAGTGGCACCTGAAGTTAACCACAACACTTGGCACTCGTTACACCACCCCACTTGGCACTCGTTATATACATTACACTTTAAAAAGGTTACGTCAAATCACAATTATTCCTTACTGTAATAATAATAATCAGGTGAAATAAACTAGGGTGGCTAATGCTTCAGGTGAGACAATTTTCTAATTAGTCTATAAATTCGTGTACAGTAAGTGCCAAGACAAGAGTGACGAACAGGTAAAGTACAACGCAGAAAATTACGTCACAGTTTTATCTGGAATCGACGAAAGCTTACCAGTGTGTGTATGACAGTCTGGTTCTCGCTGTCAGCTTATCGTCCAACAGTCCAAGTGATGACATAATGATCACACCTGTACACTTGATGTCGAGGTTTATTTCACCTGAAGGTTAACTGATTGTTTTCACGCTATCTGGTTGAGGGTAGGGGTAGGGGTAGGCAGGGGTAGGGGTGGGGGTAGAGGGCAGGGGTGGGTAGGGGCAGGTGTGGGGCAGGTGTGCAGGGGTGGGTAGGCAGGGGGGTGGGGTAGGTGGGGGTGGGGTAGGGGTGGGGTGTGTGTAGGGGTAGGTAGGGGTGGGGTAGGGTAGTAGGGGTGGGTAGGGGTAGGGGGTAGGGGTGGGGGCAGGGTAGGGGTAGGGGTGGGTAGGTGTGTGTAGGGGTAGAGGTAGGGGTAGGGGTGTAGGGGTGGGTAGGGGGTGGGGTAGGGGTGGGGTAGGTAGGGGCAGGTAGGTAGGTAGTAGGGCAGGGTGGGTAGGCAGGGGTGGGTAGGGGGGGGTGGGTAGGGTAGGGGGGTAGGGTAGGGGTGGGTAGGGTAGGGTAGGGTAGGGGTAGGGTAGGGGTGGGTGGGTCAAGAGCTACATTTACAGACAGGTACGGTACTATGTCTAGTGGAGGTGCTGAACTGGGGGTGTGGTGGGCGGGGTTAGGTCGTGGGCGCCGTGGTGGGCGGGGTCAGGTCGTGGGCGCCGTACTGGGAGGGCGGACAGGGAGGCGCCGCGGGTGACTGGTGTTTGTTTGTGTTGTGATTTACGGCGGTGGTGGCGGGCAGACCCAACCTGCCAGTCACACCCACACGCAGCACACACACACTCCACCAGGTAAAACAGACACTACAGCAGCTACCGGGTGTGTGTACGTCACCGACCCTGGCAGATACAAGGCGCCAGACAGGGTTGTATCGTTACTCATGGTAGCCATCGAGAATTTCTTGTGAATAAGTTGACGTGGGAGGCATCATGGCGCCAAGACGTGTGTGTTGGTGGCGCCGCTCCTGACCTCCTTCCTTCCCCTGTCCCTACACTCTCACTAGGTCACGGCGCCAGACCACCCCGCCACCCTCACGGCCAGGTTCCGGGTGTCGACTTACGAGTACACTGACATGCACTGATACACCTGTTATACTTACCTATAGTCCCCCATTATACACCTGTCACACACCTGCACCACGACACATCAGCCACACTCACCTGTAAGAAAATAAGACATGCGTTATATATAGTAAAATAAGAACACAATAGACTGTACATGTGTTAATGAGGACCACAGGTGTGAGGTAATACAGGTGAGTTACTAATGGATCCTATTACACCTGTGCTACGACACACACACACACACACACACACACACACACACGGCTATTTAAGACATACTAACCTAACCTAATATGACTTAAGTAAGATAAACCATGATGTCTTATGTGTAAAACAAGGATTACACTCAGGTCACATTCAGGATACACTCAGGATACACACACTCAGGATACACTCAGGATACACACACTCAGGATACACTCAAGTTACAGACACACCATAACACCGAAATCAGTGGCTGGTCTAACGAGAGAGGAAGAAGAGGTGAGGGAGGTGAGGTGAGGGAGGTGAGGTGAGGGAGGTGAGGTGAGGCATGACCCCCCTCCCTTCCTCCCACCCCCGAGGAATAATTACCTTGATGATAGGTAAAGATATATTAATTACACCCTTATTGCGGTTATTACACCCTTATTACACCCTTATTGCACCCTAATTACACTTATTACACTCAGTCCCTCATATTTTAGTTATGGAAGTGATAGTCGATAAGTAAATAAGTAGAAAATAAGTAAAATAAGTAGATATAAGTAGAAATAAGTAAAAATATGGAGGAAATAAGTATAGACATAAAATAAGTAAAACATAAGCAGATATAAGTAGATAAAGTAGTAAATAAATAGATAAAAGTAGAAATAAGTAGAAAATAAGCAGATAAAAGTAGATAAAGTGGTAAATAAGTAGATAAAAGTAGAAATAAATACGAAGATAGCAATAAAATACGTGGTAAATAAGTAGAAATAAGTAACAAGTAAAAATAAATGGTAAGAAATAAAACACCTCGAGCAGAAACACACATATGCAGGAGTCATGTTCATTCAAAATTTTCCTAAAGATTTAAATGTTATCCAGATGATGCCACAACACTGAACTGTACAGCCACAACCCTACAACTATTACAATCCTACACCCTACAACCACAATCCTACGCCCTATAACCACAATCCTACACCCTATAACCACAATCCTACACCCTATAACCACAATCCTACACCCTATAAGCACAATCCTACACCCTATAACCACAATCCTACACCCTATAACCACAATCCTACACCCTATAAGCACAATCCTACACCCTTATAACCACAATCCTACGCCCTATAACCACAATCCTACACCCATAGCCACAATCCTCACCCTATAACCAATCCTACACCCTATAACCACAATCCTACACCCTATAACCACAATCCCACACCTATAACCACAATCCTACACCTTATAACCACAATCCTACACCCTATAACCACAATCCTACACCCTATAACCACAATCCTACACCCTATAACCACATCCTACACCCTATAACCACAATCCTACACCCTATAACCACAATCCTACGCCCTATAACCACAATCCTACACCCTATAACCACAATCCTACAACCAGAACATTACAACCACAACCCCCACCACCAACCCTTTGTCCTTCAACCACACCATCCCCACACATCCCACTACTCACACTTCCCTAACCCCTACCCTTTGCCATCCCTTACCGACCACATCCCCCTACCCAACACATCCCTCACCCAACACATCCCCACCCAACACATCCCCTACCCAACACATCCCCCACCCAACACATCCCCCACCTCAACACATCCCCCCACTCAACACATCCCCACCCAACACATCCCCCACCCAACACATCCCCTAACCAAAACATCCCCACCCAAGACATCACCACCCAACACCCCACTCAACACACCCCTACCCAACACA